ACCATAGCCTATTCCCGAGTTGTGTTGTTGATTAATTGTATCAGAGGAAAAATTCAGACATAAATATAATTTTATCATCCAATCTTTTCAACAGATTTATGTCTGAAAATGCAGGGGTTTAATTCAAATAGTGCCAGATGTGCTTATTATATTTCTCTGCTATTAATTCAGATTAGGGAGTCTTCTGTGGGATTTTATTTTTATGTTTTTAATGTGAAAACCATTCCTTTGTCAATCTGGAATTTGCCACCCTCAAAGGCTTATATAAGGAAAAGATGACAACTGCAAATTCCCAATCTCCTTTGATTTTATTTTTATTTTAGTATTTGATTCTCTTATGTCTTCTTATACAAATAAGTATTTTCAGTTTCTTTGGTAATTATTTTTTTTTAATCAGCCAAAGAGGAGTAAGTGGCAGGAAAGGAATGCAGCATTCCTATGATAAACCTGTCCCACAGTCTTTTCCATAATTTGATCAAAATCTGTTTAAAAGCTGGCTGGGCTTCTTTGTTGCTCTCTCCTGTTGGGATTTGCTGGAAGTGGGATGGATAACACTGCAGGTGGAGGCAGGCCCCTGACTTACAGAATAAATTCAAATATCATTTTAGGTGTGTGTAGCCCCTCTGTTTGATTTCTTCTTTGACTCTTCCCCCACTGACACCTGAGGTCTCTTTCTGCTGCCCACAGCCCCAAACTGGGGATTTCTCTGCAGTCAAACATGGAATTATGGTTTCAGGTAGCAGGTTTTCCTGGCAGTGGTGAGGGCTGGATTGGTCTTTATCAAATACAAAGAGAAAAGATTTGTGTAAAAACCCCCCAAAATTGATCACCATCACCAGAAGTTTGTTGGGCTTTTATCCAGATGTTTTGAGACAGAAAAGTCCTGCAGGTGAATTTTACCCCAGCAGTGTCAGGCATGAGCAGGAGGAGTGGAACCTGCCCAGTTTAGCACATCTCAGCCATTTTCCATATGGAATTCCATCATGATAAAAATTCAGAAAGGCAACATTGCAGCTCAAATGCTGCAGCCTCATGACCTGCTGGAATCCTGGGATAAAAGTTTTCCAGGGCTGCCAGGAGCCACATGCTCTGCTCCACAGAATTCCCAGTGGCTGGCTCCAGCAGAAACTTGGACTCTCTTTATAAAATTCATCTTTCTCTTTTTTTTTCTCAGTGTTCTCAAGTTTTCGCTTTAATATCGTTTCCTTTGTCAAGAACGTTTACCATTCATCCCAAATAGCAGGAATAATTCAAAAAATACATTCTAAAGCTGAATTAAAGTGTTTGTTGTGATCTATTAATTAATTGAGAAGCTGCTTCTCCTTTGAAATGGAATATTTGGGAAGCCAACTATGGCTCTCCTGCCCATCACACTCAGCACTTGTTTCCTGGAGCTGTGAGTGACAACCAACTTGTGTGGGTGTTTTTACACAAAAAATTAAAATTACACTTTAAAATGAAAGTTGTGAGACTGGTTTAGAGTAGTTTTATTAAAATAACTATTTATGAAAGGAATAGTGGTGGAATGCAGTGGATGAACTGCAAAGAAATACAAGTTAAGGGTTGTGCTGCATCTTCATAAATCAGCTGCCACTAAAAATTGAATTATCCCATTTTTGCTTGAAATATTAAAAGCTGTTATTAATCACAGGGGTGTTGATGGTGTCCTATGGAATCCCATCCTTTTCTGAGCTGGGATTCCAGTGTCTCACCAGACACTTTGGGACATGTGTAAAATTCATTGCTGGGGATGACCTCAGGTCATTTTACAGTGTACTTGTTAAGGAATTTTAGGGAATTCCTCTCCTGCTTTTACAGTTAGTGGGCTGCTTCACCAGCTGGCATTAGAAATACTTTTATTTTCCTTTAACTCTCTTTGGATTCTTTTCCTTCTGTGTTGTGCTTAAGACCTTAAGGAAAGTACAGGGGTTTATTTTGCTCGACATCACTCTTGGTAATGCTTCCTCCACCAATCATTTCACCATTTTGAAGTTTCCTGAGGCTCTTGCTGAATTTTTTCACTTAATGGTCCCCTGAATCAATACTGACCTGGGGTAGCTGCTTGTTCTCACACATTGCTCCCGGCTTGTTTGAGGCTCTAATTGTGGTTTTCAGCTGAAATCCCCTCTGTCCTTTTTTCTCCGAGTGCTGGCCCCATCCACCAGTTGGAGAGATGTTTTCTGGGGCCAGGCCAGTCACCTTTATTTCAGAATCCTCCTTTCACTCCTTGGTTAGGGCTTATTGATTGCTGAAAAGGTGGCTGTGCCGAGTTCTCCCCTGGAGTAATTAACACCTGGGGCCAGGGCAAAGGGGGAGATGCCTCCAGAGCAGCTGCCTGGGCTGCTCCCAGTGGGAAACTGCTGAGTAAAATAAGGATTTGAGTCTTCCCTCCCTTGCACCAACAAGACACATCCATAACTCCGGGGGAGGAGTGGGAAAAGGTGTTTGGAGCTCCTCAGAGCAGCAGGATCAATTGTGGAACTCCGTGTTTAGTGCTGGGAGTGACATCTGTGCAGCTGCTGCTGCTGCTTCCCTTCTCCTCCTCTGGAGCCTGCTTGGGGTTTGCTCTTTCATGGAGTTCTTGAGGTGCTGCTGGACACCTAAAGCTGCTGGTGGAACGTCTTTCTCCAGTCAGTGGTGCTGAGCTGTGCTGGTTGTGTGGCCAGCAAGAAGGGATCCAGGGTATTTTTGGGTAAATATCTGAACTGGATGTGCTGTAGGAATAGGAAATTGTGTTTTGGGATGCCAGAGCCCACCTGATGCATGAGGTGCACAAGGACTTGGACTGTTCACGTGAAGACGTGAGCACAGGTGGTGTTTGACACCAAATACTTCTCCTTCTCTGTTTGTCCAGCAAAATTTTGCCAAACTCAACTAATCCTGGTGGGATTTTTTAAATTTACAGTTGTCATGGAATGGAGAAACCACAAACCCAAGTAAAGCTTCTCTGAAACTGAAGCTGGGCAAGCTGGTTCTGGATAAAAAGCAGATCTTTCCCTTCCTCTCCTCCCATGATATACTAAAGATGCCAGAGCAGATTGCAATGATTAGTTCATGGCAAGAAAAAGAAATGGGAAGATAATTTATGATAAATTTCAAGATGTTTCTTGCTGCCACCAGGATTAGTGGTCAGGTCTGATGGTAGGATCCATATTGCAGCTATAATAATAAATTCTGCCCAGTAATTCTGGGTTTACGCAAACAGCAAAAATCTGAGCTAAAAATAATCAATCTCTATACAACCAAAACCTGGATCTTCATTTAAATTCCATTTTAATGCAGCATCTCTCCTATTGGAAGGAGCAGTCTGTAGATTCTTGGAGTAGAAATGGAATTGTTCTGTCATTGTCAGCCTCTCCTCGTGGGTGTGGGTGAGGGTGGTGAGGCCGTGCAGAGCATCACCAGTTGGGACATTCATGGCAAAGAGCTCTGCCATTCCATTAAAATCATGGAATAATGGCATGGTTTGGGTTGGAAGGGATCTTAAATGCCATTCCCACCCCTGCCATGGCAGGGACACCTTCCCCTGTCCCAGGCTGCTCCGAGCCCCAGTGTCCAGCCTGGCCTTGGGCACTGCCAGGGATCCAGGGGCAGCCACAGCTGCTCTTGTCTGTATTTTCCTATTTAATTTTCCCTTTTGCAGCCATTTAGAGAAACTCTTGAGAAGAGTTTCCTAAGCTGCAAAACGCCACCAAAAATTCCCGTCAGGTTTTGTTTTTAGTGCAGAGCAGAAACCTCCCAAACTTCTCCGACGCTTCCAGAAATAATCAACTTCTGAACTCCGTGACAAATAGGGTTTGTGTATCAATTTAACTGTGGCAACGTTTGAGTGGCTTCACATTTGGGGGGATGGCAAACACATTGGACACAGTGCAACATCACTGGGGTGATTAGCATAGTGGGGCCACAGCCAACAATGTGCTCCTCAAGCCAACAGATGTGCAGCAATACCTTCAGGAGAGGGAAAAATCAGCCCAGATAAGAGAAAAGTGTGAAAAACTCAGCACATTAATCATGTTAAGCCCAGTTCTGGAGCATTTTGTGGAGCTGTGTGTTTGTGTGGAGCAGGGTCACCCAGGAGCCAGGCAGGACTGGGGCTGGGAGGGCTGGGAGAGGGGCTGGGCGTGGGCTGGTCATGGTGCCACAGCCACCTGGTGGGGATGGTGCTTTGGGTCAGCTCTGGGGATCTCCTCGGTAATTCCTCCCTCAGTGACTCCAGCCTGGGAGCTCCTCTGGCTGCTGTGGGTATGGAGTGGCTGGAGGAGGCAGGAGCTCCTCTCTGGGGGTGGCAATGTCCCATGGAGTGCCCAGTGTCCCATGGGTGGCAATGTCCCGTGGAGTGCCCTGTGTCCCATGGAGTGTCCAGTATCCCATGGGTGGCAATGTCCCATGGAGTGCCCTGTGTCCCATGGAGTGCCCAGTGTCCCATGGGTGGCAATGTCCCGTGGAGTGCCCCGTGTCCCATGGAGTGCCCAGTGTCCCATGGAGTGCCCAGTGTCCCATGGGTGGGAATGTCCCGTGGAGTGCCCCGTGTCCCATGGGTGGGAGTGTCCCATGGAGTGCCCCGTGTCCCATGGGTGGGAATGTCCCATGGATGGGAATGTCCCATGGAGTGCCCAGTGTCCCATGGTTGGGAATGTCCCATGGAGTGCCCCGTGTCCCACGGGTGGCAATGTCCCATGGAGTGTCCAGTATCCCATGGGTGGCAATGTCCCATGGGTGGCAATGTCTCATGGAGTGCCCAGTGTCCCATGGGTGGGAATGTCCCATGGAGTGCCCCGTGTCCCATGGATGGGAATGTCCCATGGAGTGCCCCGTGTCCCATGGGTGGGAATGTCCCATGGATGGGAATGTCCCATGGAGTGCCCAGTGTCCCATGGATGGGAATGTCCCATGGAGTGCCCAGTGTCCCACGGGTGGGAATGTCCCATGGAGTGCCCAGTGTCCCGTGGAGTGCCCCGTGTCCCAGCAGGTGTGAGCTGATCCCTCCTCTCTTGCAGACTCCTGCTGAACAGGCCAAAGCCAGGCTGCAGATGGTTCTGGAGGCAGCTGGTGAGTAAATGAGAATCTTCAAAACTTTGCTTCATTTTTGTGCTGTCAGGTGGGATTTTATCCCTTTGTGTTTGGCAGATGCTGATCCTGTTCTCTGTCGCTCACTTGAATTTCAGGTTAAGATTGAATTGGTTTGCACCATCATTGGCACTTAGTAAAGCCCTTTAAGGAAATAAAAATAAATCTTTTCCTACACTAAAACCTCATGTTTATCCTCTGGCTCTTGCTGCTACTTAAGTATTATTCTGTGCTCTCAAAATTTTGGTTGTTTTTTTTGTTTTTCTGTAATTTTCTTTATTTTTTGGCATTGTTTTAAATCAGTACAAGTATATATATATTTTCCCCCTTTTGGAAACCCACTAGAGGAATCTCCTCACATTGCTGATGTACTTCTTTTTCCAAAATCCATCCAGCCTTTTGCTTTGTCTCTCTTCCAATGCATTCCTTGTTCTCCAGAACTTTTAATAAATCTTTGAAGCATGTAATTATGAAATGGATGTGACAGCCCTGACCTCAAAAGCACAATTTGTGTATTCTGCTGCCATCAATCACATCTCATTTTTTAATTTCACACCTGGGAGATGTACAAAAGATAACTGGGGTTGTATATCATTGTGACCTGGGCTCCAAAATTTTCCGAAGCTTATCAAAGGTCTGTGACATTATTAAATTTAAATATCCACCACTGAGGGCTGGATCTTAGATTGAAGCTGCAGGTTGTTCATAAGGAATAGAAGAGATTTAATATCTTTGTGTCTCTTACAATCCAAAATACAGAATTAAGTTTCTTCCTGGCTTTATTCAAGTCTTGGTCATCCCAGGCGCTTATGGGATCATCCCCCACTTCCTCCCCAAGTCCTGCATTCAGTCAATTAAATTTAATTTTTACTTAATTGCTGTGAGAAGAAGTTGGAAATGTTGATAAATGTTGTTTCAATGTATTTTTGTGTGTTTACTCCTTGCAAAATCGGCACCTTTTAGTCTTCAAACTTAAAAATAAATTTCTGCTGAGCCATTCCCCAGCAGCTGTTGAGGAGCTGAGGCTCAGCAGGTTCATTGCTGTTGCTGCTGTGGGGATGTTCTCGTTGAGTATCATTGAAATGAACTCTGGACTTCAGTGATGGTGAGTGGAGCTGCTGTTGGTGTGCACAGAGCTCCATCCCAGGCTTGGGAATGAGCTCATGGAATACCTGTACACATTGTGGGGATTGTTCCAGGCCCACTGAGTGGGAATAGGAAGCTGTGCTGTGTTCCCAGTGGATTGTCCTGGATCTGGTGTTGATGCTGCTCCTCCCTGGTTGGGACAGACAAAGCAGGGGCTCCAAATCCCCTGCAGGGGTTGTAGGGACACTGGGGACAGTTCCTTCCTGGGTCATCCCTGCTGACATTGTGGGATCATGGAATGGTTTGGGCTGGAAGGGACCTTAGATCCCATCCGGTGCCACCCTGCCATGGCAGCCCCAGTGTCCAACCTGGCCTTGGACACTGCCAGGGGCAGCCACAGCTGCTCTCCAATTCCCTGTTTGCATTTCCCTATCGAAATTTCCCTTGTGGAGATATTTAGGATCTTGAGAAAACCTGCTTTTAGGATTTAACCTAGATATTATTTTAGGCTATAGCAGCTGCTGTCTCTGAAAGGCAGAAATCAGCACCTAGTAAATCAGGCTCTTATTATTGAGATTTTTTTTCCCCTGGTGTATTTGGAGATGGGAATTGTGACTCTGGTCTCTCATTAGGAGAGCAGGTAAAATAAAAAATATTCACCTGTATCTGTGGAGGAGGAGGGTAAGATGGCCATTTTTATTTTTAGGTTGTACAGTGCCGAGGAGATTTTTCTCCAAGTTCGGCATTCATGCTGACTTCATTAAATTTGAATTTTTCTTTCTTTATAAGTGTAGATTAATGTCAGTGTTTTGTTGTCATTAAGCAGGGCAATATTGGGAGGTACCCAAACACTTTCATTCTCGAGACAACTGAGTTTTGATTTATAAAACCTTTCATTCCTCTGAAGTTGTTGGTCCCTGCTATAAATTCATATTTTCACAATTTATTGAATTAGATTTCTTAATATCGAGGTGCCAGGGAGCCTTTTGAGGCTCCTCTGACAACCTCCCACAAGTCGCCGTGCCCGAGCAGATGTTAAGCAGGCAGTAGTTGAATGTTAATTTGGAGAGGGTGGGATGTTTAAGCCCATCTGAAGTATGTTCCATGTGGGCCTTCCAGACTGAGCCACAATGCTTTGTCTCTTGGGAGAATTTCCAAGCTAAACCTCTTTCTTTTCCTCGCTCTATATGGACTCTCTCAAGTCAGTATAAAGCAGATCATCCCTGGGCTAAAGCTCTCCAGCTTTTGTTAGCGGGCTCTGTAGGGCTGTAATTAGGCCTCCTGGCAGGCCCTGCCGGCCAGTTAATGGTCATATGGAGTTTTTCTGAGGCAGACTGGCTTTGTGTAAATCCTTGCTCGCCATCTCCTTCTGGGTCACTTCCTACCAGGCCGGGGCTTTGTGCCCTGCCCCACGGGCGGACGGGGAGCAGCGTCCCCTGACCAGCGCCGGCTCCGGGAGCGCCGCACAATCCACCCGGATAATCCCCAGTGTAAACAGAGGATTTAGCTCAGCTTCTGTCACTTACAGTTGCCAAACCACTTGGGTGTCTGTGATTTCTTTCCCAGACTTCATTACCGAGGGACGCAGAGGATCCGAGCCGGGGGTTTGTGCCGAGCGTGGCTCCCGGCGCTGGTTTTTAGGGAGAAGTTGCAAATCTGAAATCCCGAGCTTAGGGCAAACCTCAGGACCTGAAAGCTGCTTAGTGCGTGCTGTAAATTATATGGGCACCTGTGCTTTCTCATAAAGATTAAAATATGGATGGATATTCCCAAAATGTCAATAAATTCCCGTGAAATAGCACACGGATGTCTCGAACTATTGATGCTGCCACCGCTTCCAAAGGGCTCCGGGAGCTTTTCCATGGTGCTAAGCAGAAATTTCTTACTCTCCATATAAAGGCGGTGACAAAAGGCAATTGATCTGGATTTTCAAAGGTCTAGAGTTGAAATAAGTGACTGATGTATTTTTGGGATCTGCATTTCAATCTCTGGCTGAAAGAGCAGTCAAGAATAGGGCGTTTTGTGCAAAGAATTTGCCGGAGTTTATTTAAAGGAAACTTCGGGACCGAGGCTCTAAATGTGAGAAAATGGGGGAATACAAATCCCAAACATTTCCCATTTATCAAATCCAATTCTGGATATTGGATGTTTAACTCATCATCTTTGAATTATGCTATCAGATTGCTGCCTTTAATTTTGTAGCCTGCATCTTTATTGTGTTTTACATATTCCTCAAAGAGAAAATCATGGAATACGATGAGTACTTCAGCCTTAGCTCTGGTAAATACAAATGTTTTATAATTCTGACTGCCTTTTTTTTATTAATCTACCCATTCTACCAGGAGTTATTGAGGAGAAAAAGCCTGATTTGCACTCAGTGCCTGATAAATATAGGCAAATATTCTCTGCTTTTGGGTATCAAAATGGCTCATAACAGATGTGGCTGAAAGGACCACATACGTAGACTGTATGATTTTAGTCTGGTGGAACTAATAGGATCACTTGCTACTTTATAGATTCTTGCTTTTCTTTTACTTTAATAAAAACTGTTTAGTTAAATAGGTTGGCCTCTGTTTTGCTCTTTTCTAGCTATGCAAAGCAGTCGGGCGGGCAGGTGGCAACAAGTATGAAAAATTTCCTTTTATTGGGGCTTCTTTTCAACTGCCAAATTTATCAAATGTTTATGGATTTCTCGTTTTGATGATGGATTTCTTTCAGTTTTCTTATTTGTGTTCTTTCCACTGAGAACTCGCTGGCTTTAATTTAAATTTCTAATTATGCAATGAATTTTAGGAGGGTGGATAACATGTGCTGTTATATACACACAAAGGATGAAATAATACTTAAAATATTTTACTTGTTCCGTGGAAATTTAAAGCAGGCTTTAAAAATAATTCTTGCCCCAGAAATTGCAAGAATTTGAACTTTTAACAAGCTTAAAAGTTCTGAATATTGAAAAAAAGCTTAATTCAGTTGCTGTATAGGTTTGATTTAATATAAAATTCTAATTTTTATCAATTTCAAATATTTGTTTTGAATAGTGGCAGTTGACACTTTGGATAATTGAATTTTTCTTCTATTTATATAAAAATCTCTGTTTGGAGAGCAAAGGAATCTTTCTTGAATCATGTTTTCTTTTTTGAATCATGTTTGAATAATCAAATTCTTCCTTGAATCATGTTTTCTCTTTGTGACAAATATAGATGGAGGTGCCACAAAGGGTTGTGAGGGCGTTTTGTGGAGCATTTTCTGAACCCCCAGCAAGGAGAGGAATTTTCATCCCTTGTGAGTCTTCACCAGTCTGGGAAAGGTTGTTCAAGGTTGTTCTGTTCCCTGTGTGAAAGGAAAATAAACTGGAATTACCTTGGGAAGAGCCTCAGCAGTGATGGCTCAAACACCTTCTCTTCATGTCCTGCTCTAGGGCCGCCTGAGATTCCAGAATCAGGGAATGCTTTGGGTGGGAAGGGACCTTAAATCCCACCCAGTGCCACCCCTGCCATGGCAGGGACACCTCCCACTGTCCCAGGTGCTCCAACCCCAGTGTCCAGCCTGGCCTTGGGCACTGCCAGGGATCTGGGGCAGCCCCAGCTGCCCTGGAATCCCATCCCAGCCAGGAATTCCCAATTCCCAATCTCCCACCCATCCCTGCCCTCTGGCACTGGGAGCCATTCCCTGGCTCCTGTCCCTCCATCCTTGTCCCCAGTCCCTCTGCAGCTCTCCTGGAGCCCCCTCAGGCCCTGAGCTCTCCCTGGATCCTCCTTCTGTCCTGGCTCCATAGGGGAGGTTTATCCTGTTCTTGGACCCCAGCTAATTTAGGAAATCTATCTAATTATGGAATTAATGAACCCAGTTTTTAGGTCAGCTGCTGATTCCTACTCAGCAGATTTTGGTGTCAA